ACTATGATGAAAATTTAATTTCATCAACAAATCTGATAATACACTTTCAATATTAAAAAATGATATATGGAATATTTTGTTGATCTAAAAACATGTGAGAAAAGATGAAATTATGGTGATGAAAGAATAGAAATAGAAGAATGTATTTGTAGAAGCACTGAAGATGATAATGTATGGTTATTTTATAGATATTGTATTAGAAGACAGAGAATATGTATACAAAACTAATATTATTAAATATGGTGATATTAAACATAAAATTACACAAATATCAGAATATGTTTCATAACCACAAATTCAACCATTAAAACATCAAAGAAAATCAACAGAAATAATAATTTGTACAGATTCATATTGTTATTCTACTTGTTTATTTGTAACAAAATGAATAAAAGAATGGAGGAGTGGTATTATTGTATGATATGATGGTGATTCATATTGTAAAGATGAAGAAATTGAATTAGGACAATCACCATCAAATAGAATGATAAGTATAATTACAGAAAAACAATATGATTACAAACTATTAGAATTTTCACTTATTTATAATATTTTAGAAACATTTAAACATAATTATAAATATAATGAAAATAAACATAGAGAATTTATAAAAGATGTATTATATGAAAGAGTGAATATATATCAATATGTTATAAGAGATGAAATAATAGAAGAAAATGAAGAAGAAACAAAAAAGATAATAAAGAAATATCAAATAAAATGGAATCAAAATAATAAAAGAATAGTTAAAATAGATAATAAATATGATAAAGAAATTAATATAAAACAGGTACATTGATGATATGAATGTGGAAATAAATGAGAATTGAGTACAAAATGTGTACTAACATATTTTGAATTAAGATATAAATTTGAATATAATAAAAATAAATGTGATAAATGAATTTGTGCATATCCAAGTAGTTGAAATAGAATAATGACAATAAATCTAGTTATGATTATTATTGGATTAATGATGATAATTGTTTAATTGAAGAAAGAATAAATTAATATTTAATGTTTAATTTAATAAAATAAATAATAAACAGATTTATATCAAATAAAATAAAAGAATAGAAATAAAAGATAAAATAATAAAATTATAACATAATAATAATCAATATTAAATATAAATAAGAATAATACAATAAATAAGAATAAATTAAATAATGAAAATAAATAAAATAATGATAAGAATATAATAAATAAGAATAAATTAAATAATGAATCAGATAATAAATTATAATAAGATATAAAATTAAAGATTATAATTCATAAATAAACATATTATATATTATATTAAAGAAATAAATAGAAAATAAATAATAGAGAGAATAAAATAAATGAATA